AAGCTTGGTCCTTCTTTGATCAGGGGTATGTTTGAAGCATACTAATTCAAACACATTTAAATGCTTCACAAATAGATTTCATGCACACAAACCTCCTTTTGGTACCTTAATCTTCAACTTCTTGGTGGGATATTTATTAAAAATATAAGTGTATGTATTTACTTCCTCACCCCCAGAACATATGCGAGGAATGTTTTTGTGCTTTAATATACTTATTACTATATCAAGGATGATCATATTTTTTTCTTTCTGCAAGACCATTGTATTGTGGCGTGTAAGGTGAGATCACTTCATGACTTAACTTTGATGATGAAATATGTTTCAAACTCATTTGAAGTATATTCTCCACTTCCATTTGTTCTCAGAACCTTAATTTCTTTACCACTCTCCTAATGATGAGGATATGCGCATAGACTTCGAAGGGTCTAAAGTGGCCAAAACCCCTATTATTTTGTAATGTTTTACATATCCTGAAATTGTGGTTCATGCCCCTTGTTGCAAATAATAAAAGTCTTATATGGTTTTTATTGATGGAGTCATACTAGTGGGATTAAACCTTGACTAGTGCTAAGAAATATTGTTTATATGGTTATTGGAATCTCATAGTGTTCCAGTGAAAGCATTTCGCTCCTGCACGCCTTGTACTAGAGAGATTATGTAATGTTATGTTCTGAAAATACTATTCCCTATACGCCTCGTGATTAGGAAACTATCTACCAATAAATCTATTTTGACATAGCGACATCTCAGCCAGTAAAATAGGGCCCCCACATATCAGAAAGGCCACAAATATTTTAGAAAGTACTCCAATAAATGGGTGGTCCTTGAACTACTTAAAACAAGGTCAGATAAACTCAAGAGACAAAGGAGAGTTCTATACATTTAGAACTTCAAGAAACTTGTTATTTTCCATCTCCCTCATTAATTACAAGTACATATAATCATCATGTTCTTCTTGTTAGAATGAAGAAGATTAAAATTATTGATAATAAGAGGATATCTTTTTTGTGTTTGATTCCTTCCACACATGTTTATTTTAATGGCCTCATTAAAAAATTTAATGGCTCGATTCCCCTTACAGTATTCAGATGAAGACTTTCAAGAACAACAATCGTTAGAGGAAGAATCCATTGATGCTCGATTTTCTAAGCATTTTATCGATCATATATATTGTATTAATAAAACAAATTATTTTATGTTATTGTCCATGCAGCTATAGAAGTCTCGTTGACTGCTTCAAAAAAGGAAGAGTTCATTGACGCGGTCTCTACTTAAGACAACACGTACACCATCAAAACAAATTAACAAGTGACAAAGAGAGGAACTGTCCTATACAAAAACTGAAGAGTCAAGAGAGTACGACAATTCTCAAGGATGCAACTGTTTACTTTCTATTTTATGATATCATCATATGGTAAACTAACATACTCCCTCTCTTGCGGAAATTATTTCAAGCATGCACGTGTGTATATATATAGAGAGAAAAAGATCAATTATCATAAAATAAAAAGATTAAGGAAAAAATACACAAAATCCAAGTTTATTTATATAATATTTTCTCTCTCTTTTATTTTTTAAAATTTTTTTTTAAATTTTTATAATATAAAAACACATTCGTCAAATTAAAGATGATGAAATTCACGATTATTATATTGGATATAAGAAGAAAAAATAAACTAATAAGTTTGATAAATATTAAATGAAACTAAAACAAAACTCTTCAAAAAATTATGAGTGCAAAATATTTTTCAATTATACTTGACTGTTCTGATATAAGTCATCAAAAATAAATATTTTATTTTTTTGTATTAAGATTTATTGGTATTTCTTCTACTCTAATACAATTTTTTATAGTAATGGATACTGGAAAAAAATATTTTTGATACAATTATAAATTAGATAAATATTATTGAACTTGATTTTAGTAATTAAAGAGGAGAGTTGTGAGAATAGATTTTAAATCAAAGGAAAATGTCAAGGTTTGTAAAAAAAGGTTTTTAGATATTCATTATAGATTATTTTTTAGTTCATGTGACTGTCATAGGTTAAATTTAGTATTTTGTAATATGGATAATTGTTGTTTTAAAAGCTATATATCTTTTTAAGTGCTACAAAAAAAAATAAAAAATAAATAAATAAATAAATATATATATATATATATATATATATATATATATATATATATATATATATATATATATATATATATATATATATATATATATATATATATATATATATATATATATATATATATTTAAATTATTGTTACAAATATGTTGGAAAAGTCGTACTAAATTTTTTAAAACTTTGATATTTTAAGTTTCACAAATAAGATATATTTTATTGAAATTGTGGGAAATTATTAATAAATTTAAAATAAAAAAAAACGTACCTGAATGTTTATAGAAGCTTATGTGCTTGAGAATTTTTAATTTGTGTCATCATGATTATTTGTATGAGATGTGTTTGTGGTAAACTCTATTAGTAAAAATGTTCAATCAAAAGATATGCATATCTATGTTGTTATAGAACAATGTAAATGTCTTATTTTATTTCGTATTTGTTAAAAATATAATATGTTGACGAATTTTTGGGGTTAAGGACTCTTAGAGATTTTTGTGATGGTTATAGTGTTGGTGTAAGTTCACGCGGTTAGGTGGTAAAAAACTGTGTATAAGTGTTTACATATGAATTTAAATGTCATTCTTAACCTTAGAGTTAGGTATTTATATGAATCTCTTAAGTATGAATCTCAAGCTCTAAAAGAGTAGTATCCACTTTTTAGAGATTTTTGTACTTGTTAAAAATATAATATGTTGACAATTTTTTGGGGTTAAGAACTCTTAGAGATTTTTGTGATGGTTATAGTGTTAGTGTAAGTTCACGTGGTTAGGTGGTGAAAAACTGTGTATAAGTGTTTACATATGAATTTAAATGTCCTTCTTAATCTTAGAGTTAGATATTTATATGAATCTTTTAGGTATGGATCTCAAGCTCTAGAAGAGTAGTATACACTTTTAGGAACGTATAAAGAGAGTAGTTACTTTCTCTATTACTTAGAATAACATGACTACCTTCTTTTGAGTTTCTCTCCATTGCGATATAGAGAGGGACATGTCACTCCATACTTTTCATAAAAGACAAGTAAAAAAATGGATGTTACAACAAGATGAAAGGCTCTCAATATAATAAATAGATGACTATCAACGATATATCATCTAGCTTTTCTTTAAAATATTTCTTACACCACCTCTTGTTGATGTTTTACAAATACATCAAAACACTTTGTTTTAAATATGGGCATGAATTTGAAAACTATAATCTATGCAAATAAATTGCTATCGAAATCAATATTAAATGCAAGTTTCGTAAAAAAACGTATTAATCATGAAAGAAATAATTTAACAAAATTATTGACAACAAAGTTATAAATCTTTAAAGATTCATTTACAACTACCTATTGTTTTTATGTATAGATCAAACAATTCATTTACTTCAAAGTATATTTAAACAATTTAAAATATAAAATAATATTTAGAATTTTCAATTTAGTATTGAGATATTAAAATTTATTAAAGTTGAAAATTTAAAAGAAAAATATTATGTTTGAACGATCATTAAAATATAATGCCACCCACGCTTATTCTTAAGGTGGGTTTCCTCTCTGAGTTAGGCTTAGATTTGATGCGAGGTGGAGGGCGTGGATTAGCTTGTGTTTTTTCAAGTAACATTTTAATTTTCATCAATGGATGTGCAACTGATGAGATTAGTATTCTAAGAGTCTTGAGGAAGAAGTGCAAAATATCAGATAATAAATATTAGTAAATTTGATTTTTTTTATATATTTGATAATATATATATATATATATATATATATATATATATATATATATATATATATATATATATATATATATATATATATATGAATTAGATACATTAATTATCAAATATATTAAAAAAGTCAAATTTATTTATAAATCGTTAAGAAAAATATAAAAGAGAAGATATAGTTAACTCATACTCTAATAATTTAAATATCTTATATCATATTTTTTCGGATTTTTTTATAAAAAATACTTTACCTTTCTTATTTATTAAATAATTAATATATTTAAACTTTATTAGAGACTATATAAATTAATTATTCAATAAATCTAAAAAGTAAAATATTTTTTATAAAAAATACTTTACCTTTCTTATTTATTAAATAATTAATATATTTGATCTTTATTATAGACTATATAAATTAATTATTCAATAAATCTAAAAAGTAAAATATCTTTTATAAAAAAGATCAAAAAGAATATAAAAAATACAAAACTAAATGCAAATAAATAGGTGTTTAAAAAACTTTTTATGAAAACCACAATAAACACATAAGATAATCACATAACAATAATCAGAGAGTAAGCAACACTAAAGAGGTCTTCACATAAAATAATCTTTAGTAAAAATTGAATCCTTAAATTTTTGAAAAATGAATCAACTTCTTAACAGCCGAATGAATCAATATTATATTTATGAATTTATTAACTACTACTCTATTTCATATTATAAGTAAATTTCATATTTTTATATTTTTTATATTTGTTAAATAATTAATATATCTAATTTATATATAAATTAAATATATTAATTATTCAATAAATCTAAAAAAATAAAATTTAGATGGAAGGAATATATATTAACGTTATTCAAAAAATTATAAATTAGAACCTGAAATGAATTAGTATAAAACGTTATTCATACTTTAAAAAGTTATAAATAGAAAATACTGAGCTGGTTTCTATAATATAATTAATTAATAGCCAGAACAAGTTAAGCTGCATATGCAGCCATGCATGAAATGACGATCCCATACAATATTTAACATACAAAATACACACATAATATATTTATATAATTAATTCCCAGTTGGTAACTAAGAGTTTGAATTGATAAACACATGCACTAATAAGATATAGATAGATAGATTATTGAGAGAAATGAAAATATTATGCATCATGAATCTGTCCCGTCTTGGGTGAGTCGTCATGGTTTTTTGTGGAAATAAGAGTAGACATATTGACGAGTGGCGATTCCCACAAAGACGGTGGTGCAGCAGACAAGTTCAAAGGATCATTCTCAGATCGGTGTGTAGCATATGCATCCTCGTTGATCAATGAATCAAGGAATGAAGTAAACACATCATCACAACAGACACTACTGTCATCATAATCCCCTTTACTGTTGTTGTTAAGCAGATGATGATCCATTGCAGAAACATGACTACTAAATAAGCTATCACAATCAGCACCATTAAACTCCTGAGCTCGTTGTTGTTGTTGTTGTTGCAGCTGTGGATAATGATTATCATGATTGTGATATTGAGCTAAGTGATGATCTTGAGGTGAGGGATTATGATCAGATTCAGTGTTAGTTATAGTAGTAATATGATGATGATCTGGAGAAGCAGAAGATGTAAAAGCAGAAGTGGTTTGGTGATTAATATTCGGGATTATTGAAGATGAAGAAGAGGGGTTATTAATATTATTAAGAGGCTTGTGTGTTCTGGGATCAATTCCTTGATTAATGAGTTTCTTGCTGAGATGTGTGTTCCAATAATTCTTAATCTCATTATCAGTTCTCCCTGGAATTCTTCCAGCTATCAATGACCACCTGGATATATATAAATTGTTTAATTGATAAATTAACTATTTGATTAGATTAGATTAGATGTATCAATGTATGGGAATAACTAACAAGTTAGAACCCTAAATATTGATGGAAATGAAACCCTAATTGCGAACAAGAACTAAACCTGTTGCCGAGAAGACGGTGGAGACGGAGAATGAGATCTTCTTCATCAGGGGCGATCTGGCCGCGTTTGACAGACGGACGGAGATAATTCATCCAACGGAGACGACAGCTTTTGCCGCATCGGAGAAGGCCAGCTCGTTTGGGGAGAGTTCTCCACCGGCCTTCACCTTCCTTCTTAATGTAATCCGATAACACTTGATCTTCTTCCCCTGTCCATGGTCCTCTCTTCAACCCTATTTTACTGCAACACGGAGTGGTAGTACTTGTTGTACTGCTGCTTCCATTGTTACTATTCTTCCTCTTCTGGTTCTTCTTTGAATTTGTCGATGCTGATTTGGCTTCATCTTTTGACGATGAAGGACTCCTCATTGATCTGAATTTCAATTCCAATTTCTATATCGATACTTGCGATTTTGATGAAGCAAAATAGAAACAATTTTGTTTATAACACACGCACTACTCTCTCTCTCTCATCCCGATGATTTTAATTTTCTTTCATTGCTTTGAAACACAAATAAGCAATGTTCACTAACACCCACGCGCCAACCCTCCGCTCTAAGATCCACGTCTATCTCACTCTACCAGCCGCACCTTTTAATTCCTTTGTCTTTTTCCGTATTAGAATTATTAAAATCTTGTCTCAACTTATTTTTTAATTAATTTTAATTTTGACTTGGTTTTTTATTTAAATTAAAATAACAACATTTGATTTTTATTCCTGTTTCCAAAGAATAACGGCTTGTGTTCTGTTCCGTCAGCTTCTTCCATAGACAACCAAACTGTCCAATCACGGAGTTTGTTTCACTACTAACTAGTAACAAGGACATGAAGTCGTGAAGGTGACATGTTGTTTTTGAAAAGAAAAACTTATACAGTTTTAAGACTTTATTTAATTAATACTAATTCACAAATTTTATATTATTATATAGTATTACTTAACATTTACCTCACTATTTAAAAAAAAATTGATTTTGTTTTAGACTTAAAAAGTAATGAGATTAAAACTATAATTAAATTAGTTATTATTTTGAAGTCGGCACGTACAAGTATTTAATGTAATAGAAGGTTGCGTAAACATAAATAAATTGAGTAGCTAGGTGGCTTAACCGGCTTGCATTAATTAGATTAGATGCTGGAATTTAGAGTACATGTAATTAATCAACCGGAATAGTGTTTTCGACAAACTTTCAAAAGATATTCGTAAAGGTTTTTTCACATGGAAGAAATAGTTGGATTCAAATTCAACCAACATATGAAATTAATGGAAGAAGCATTTCAAAACGTGAAGGTTGGTTGAGACAGAGGTGGCTGTGTTTGATAGTTCTACAAATTTGAACTGTTACCGATCGACTTCTGTTTTCTATATTGTTTACGTGCACTTGCATTGCATGTATGAATTAGTCAAGTTGTTTTGATTTGCTTCTCCTTGTTTTATGCAGGCATGACATGGATCTTTTGGGCCCAGCAACTCATTACCTGACAAATTTTGTAACAGTGTTTGTCGAGGTTAATTTGGCATTTGTATTATTGAGACTGGGAGCTAATAGGTTGAGCCGTACATATGAACAGAATTATTATCCGCTCAAAAAACATTACAATGACGGACATAAAAGGTCATAGGTTCACTAGAACCTGGTTGTAATTGAAGTGGAAATCATTAATGAAAATTTTCGACACAAAAAAAACACAAAGATAATAGAAGCACTTCACATTCCCGAGTAGGGTGTGAGTGAAGGCGTATTCCATTATGATGTCTTTATGTTATAGTACATTTTATTAATTTTTTAATGAAAGAGAACCGCTAAGGTGAGACATCTAATTTCGCTTGTATTCTGTTGCTACTTAGGATGGTCTAGCTGATGTAGGTGATGTAGGTGGACTGATTATTACTTCATCCTTATTACAATGAATTATTCACTCCACTATTTCACACGTATTAAAAAAAAATGTAAATAATAAAAGAGAGAATAATATTTTTATTATAATATCTTTAATAATATATTAAAAATGATGAAAGTTTAATTAATTAAAAGAGAAAATTAAAAAAGTGTATTATTAAAATGAATCATTCATTTTATAATATTATTTTATTTCAAATAAATCACTCGTTATAAGACGAAAAGACTGAAATAAAAGTCATTTTTTAGGGGTGGTTTATTTGTAAACAAGGTACAAGGATAAGGTATAAACTTTTCAATTGGAATCCATATCCTCTAACCTGTTTCAAGACTTATTAGGGCATGTTTGATTTGATTTTTAGAATGGTCAAAAACAATTTTAGAGATATAGAATTAATTCTGAAGTGATTTTGAGTTGATTGATTTTTTTAAAATATAATTGATTCTTCTAAAACATAATTGATTCCGATTCCAAAATTGATTGTATTAGAAACTAAAATTTATAGCTTATGAATTTAAACATGATTTTTATACTAAAATTTATTGTTCTACTCACTTTTACATAAATGCTTAATTGCAACTTTAGTATTTCTTTTATCTCTTTTCTTAGATTTTGCCCCCCATTCTAAAATTTGGTTTTTCTAATGTCTCTAATTTATTTTATTTTTGAAGATTTTAGTCTTCCTTCACATATATCCTATCAAAAAATGACTCACGACTATGATCAACAGATAAAATTGAACCAATCAACCCGTCAGTTATGAGGAGAAAGTTATTGGTCATCTAAAGAAGAATTGTAACAAGACAAATGATGCGTCTAAAAATATAAATACTTTGCCCAAATTTCTTCAAACAATGAAATGTCAAAAATGCGAGAATAAGAGACACAACAAACGAGCATGCAAGGTAAAAGAGTGACTGAGAGAGTAATACATAAATATCAATACTTAAAACATCATTATTACTACTGTCATCTCATTAAAAATCCTCTCAGATTTGAAAGGGTCTAAAATCCTTCAAAAAAACAATAAAGGGACTAAAAAAACCGATTTTTAAAATAGGGGACCAAAATCGAAAGAAAAAAATAGGAGGATTAAAGTTGTAATTGAGTCTTACATAAATATATCCAAACATAAATCAATGATGCTGCTAAACTCAATTCGGTTAAAACCAATTTTATCAAACTCAATTTTATTAAAATCAATTTTGTCCACTGTGAATCCAAACATATACTTAATTGTAAAAAAAATTCATTATCTTAAATATCTAATTCAAAATGATCAATCATATTGTCCATTAGCAAAATATTACTTAAAATCTGAGTAAAAATTATTAATACCTGAATTAGAACCTAAATTTTTTAGAAAAACATACCCTTATATTTTAAGTTTTCACCGATAGACAAATCATATATTTAAGATTTTTTATTTTTAAACTCTATTCTTTTATTTGTTATAAATATTTATAGTCTCCTAGTTTTTTTATGGTATGACTATGTAATATGTAATTAATTATGTGGGTGTGATGTGAAAATAATTAATTGAAACAATAAATCAAGTTAGAATTTTAATTAAACATATAAATTATTTATTTTTATGTAATTGTTAGATGGTTATGTTTTTTTGATAACAAAGAGGGTCTAAGAGCAAAAAATAAAAACGCTACTCACAAATTATTATAGCGGTAAAAGATTTCTAGAATACTCATCCAAAAGTCTCAACATATTATCAGAAGTTAACCAAATAAGATAAAATCATGCCTAGTATTACAATCAATATTAGTTAAAGTATTCGCACATCTATTCGCCTCTTTGAAGGAGTGACACACACTCACATTCTCAAACTCCTCCAACAATCTCTGGATTTGAGTAATAATCGTCAAACTCTCCCGAACATTGGAGTTTTCTCTATCAATAACATGAACCACCAATATGAGATTCACTTTGATGTCAACATTTTTTACTCCTACATGATAATGCAAGTTTAATCCCTTCAAACAAACCCCAGAGTTCAACCATAAAAACATTGCAATCACCAAGAAATTTTGCAAAACCTACCCACCATCTACCATTGTCATCTATAATCAACCCCCACAACCAGGTTGAACCAGCTAGCATGTAATCTTTGCACGCTACATCGACGTTCAACTTAAACAAATTTCTTTTCGGAGGAGACCAACAAAACTATTTAGTTACCTTATGTTTTCCCATTACAAGGTTATTCATTTTAGTAACATCAGCATACTCCTTAGCTTTCTGAAAAATATATTCTCCCAACGCAAACAGACGATCAAAATTCTCTACATGTTCCTCTTTATTACGCCAACTCCAAAGAAAGTAGCAACCCATGGCCCAAAAGCATCTCCAATCAACACATGCACTCGACTTTTTTTATGTTAGCAGTAATCCAACCATCTAAGTCCAAATGATAAAATAATCCATCTATATCAATGGGAAAAATGTTGTTCCATATCTGCATGGCTCTAGGACAATCACGAAATACATGCAAGGTATTTTCACAAGCATGTCCACATAATCTACATGCTGCAAACTCCAATCCCTTCCTACTTTTGTTAAAATTAGTTAACAACTTATCATGTTTCAGAAGCCACTGGAAACTTCTAACACGTTCTGATACATTGAGATTCCAAATCCTCATCCAACCGGGATCAATAGTTTGATCATCATCACCACTAGAAAGTGATCTATACATTTCCTTGACAGAAAATGCATCTGAACCAGTTCCAACAATAATAAACTTGTCATCCTCGTGCACCTCATTATGAGGGATTATTGCTTGGAGTTTATGTATTAGAAATTATGGCATCCACTTCTGCAACTCACACCAATTCCATTGACATTAGCATCCAAAAAATATTTCACCTTCGCACCATGCATATCTTCGGGGATTGATATATCATAATTGTAGATACATGCACCTGGTCCCAATCAATTGTCATTGGGAACATCTATATTTTTTCCATTACCAATGCTCCAAAGGCCAGTTTCTAATTAATAGTAAAGTGGATCTATCTGCTTGCAGATGTAGAGTTAATAATCTTAATGTTGTTGATTGTCTTGGTGTTATGATAACGACAACACTGATGCTTGTTGAAGTCAATGGTGATATCTTCCCAACTCTCTGGTGATGGTGATTAACTTGAAGATATCTCAACCCTCACCAATTAGAATATTCAATACATCTGAGCCATTAGTAGTGTGAGTATCTTCGACCTTCTTCTAGTGTGTTTTTGATGCTCACAGGTGATTGATGTTGTTTATCGAAAGTCTTTGGCTAGGGAGTTCTAGCTTGTCTCCCTTCTGGTGGTTTTGGTTTCTGCATTTCTACGACTCTCCTACCTTTGTATTGGTGTTTATGTTGTTAGATCGTAATGTTTTTGGTGTTTATCATTTTATATTTGTTGGTCAGATTTTTGTTTTGCTTTATTGGATGTTTGATACATTTTATGTCT